CTTGATCTGCACCTCATCCTCCACTAGGTTTCGGAGCGCTTGTAGGAGCAGTAACTCTTCCAGCGCCGCGAGATGCACATGCGCTGGCAGCTCAAGAACTTCCACCGCCATTGCGGTGTCAGGCTGGGTCTAGGCACCTAACCAAGACCCAACAACAACACCCCAGGAAAACCGACCTAGGCAACCATGGGGATAAAAGGCGAAGGCTAGCGCTGAGCATATACGGCCCAAACTTAGATCTATCGACAGGGTTTGCTCGCAAGGAATGACTGGCCGATTACAGCACATGCCAGTGTATGGCAGAACGAGCGCACAGAAGCAATGTAAGGCCCGGACACGGTAGTACCGCGCGACCTACACGCAGTACGAGCAAAGGCCACCCTAGACCTCTGCCCCCGCTTGAGCTGGCAAGTGCTGTGCGCCGAACAATGCGAACTGCAGTTCACCGGCATGACACTGCAATAGTACGGCAACGTTGGCAATTGACGATAGAAACCACTCCAGCAAACGAGCATGCTCGTCGCTACGAAATCGACATGTTCAAGAAACTATACCTAATGGCAAACATAAACCTCGTGGTGCAACGTGTGAGTCCGAATTTTGGATGGGCAGCACAAACTGTCGCTTCGGTGCGCTGTCCACCAAACTCGGGCAGGAGATTTGGAGCTGTGTGTCGGGGGCCTCCTGCTACCCCCTAGCAAGAATTAGGGGCATCGCAGCAGCCCCACCAGATAGGCGTTGTGATTGACAAACTCTAAATCCTTTTTGGTGGCAACTTTAGGGGGCTTGTTATCATCACACAGGTAGGGTGTCCACTGCTCAGCATTAGGGACTGAAAGAAGAGTCTGATAATGTCCGCTAGTGACCCGTTGTCCCCGGTGGGAGATTACTGCGACAACCCCGAAGGGCTCTAATCTCGTGCATGCGCTGCCATCATCAGTGAAAACAGGCACCGCCACCACGTCACCTGGCACAATGAGTATCTTACGCATATCCTTACGAGTGAGGTCTGCATAGCGACAGATCTGGAAATATACGCAACCACTGTGTTGCGTCAGGGCATGCGTGGCGTACTGCTGATGCCAGCTGTCTACCAACTCCTGCAGGGTGCCACCTTGAAAGGTGAGCAATGTGAGCAGAAGCGGAGCGCCAAAGTCACCTGTGTCAACAGTCTGCAACGGATTAGTGAGGCGAGCAGACCATGACCAGCGGTAGGCCTCTGGCCGCGCGACAGCATATAGATGCTGCAAAAACTCGCCTGCGTCATGCTGGCAGTGCAAGCTGGACCATTCCCTAAAAAGCTCCCTTAGAGCTAGGCAGTCAGGAAGGGCTATGGGTCCCGTTGCACGCAGAGCTCTGAGGCCGGCCTGTAGCTGGCCATAACAGGCAGACGACCCCGTAGACACCTCACCGACCCAGTACACTGCATGACAGACTGCATTGCAATAGCACAGGTTGCTGCGATTCTGCAATCTGGCGATAGGCAGCTTGAGCCCGGCGCCATTGGTACGCTGCACGACCTCTTGTGCAGCAACAGCGTGCCGACCTAGGCATCGCTGTTCCACGGCGCCTCCCGACGGGCCCAATCGCAGTATGTAGTCCCCATGTAGGACTCCTTCATCTGCTTGACGAGCTGGGTCTCCTGGCCCCGCTCCGGCCTGATACGCGCCCCGATCAGCTTGGTGATGGCCAAGCCGCTCAGGGCTCTCAGTGCATCGAAGCAAATCTGGCTGGACTCCCCTCGTAGGCCGATCGAGGCCATGAAAGGAAGGACTTCCACCTTGTAGGTGTCTGTAGCCGACATCTTCTTGGCCGTCTTGAAGTTTTTCAGGACCCCATCCCTCGCTGAGTGCTGGATCAGCAGGTCTATCTGTCGCAGCGCTTCGGAGTGCTTCATGGGCGGCGTCTCCGCTACGATCTGCTTGCGGGAAGCTGGGTCCCAAGCATGATAAACCCATGCTGGACTCAGGGCCGTCTCGCCCTGGACCGTCCAGCCCACATTCATGCAGCGTTGGAGACGCTCCTCGTCCTGAAGGGTTTCCTCGGCCTTGTTCTTTAACATCTCCAGCATAGCCAGGAACAGGAGCAGCTTTAGCGAGTTGCGAACCTTGCCCTGAGCATACTGCTCTTGCCAATTGTCCGCCACTGCCCTGAGGTTGGATAGACACCCGAGGCCCGAAGTATCGATGAAGACCATGAAGCCGACATCCTGCTTGAAGCGCTGAATCTCCGTCTCGTGCCTCAGCACGACACGGACCATATTCTTCAGCAAATCCTGCGTGGCCTGGTCCATCACCGGAGCCTGGTCCCCCGAGGAGTTCTGGGCCGAGTCGTGCCACTGGCGCTTTGCCGACCAAGACTGGTGCCAGCCACCTTGTGAGGAGCCTTTGCCCCCCTTGGAGTCCGGCCGCCTCCACTTGGCCCTTCGATACTCGTCCTCCTTCTCCTTGTTTCGGATCGTTGGAGCTCGGCCCCATGACACTCAGCATCTCCTGCCTGGCCTCTCTGGCCCGGGCTTCCTCCTGCGCCTGCATGTCGGCATCCATGTCGCCCATTGTGCTCCTGCCCACAACCGAGCAAAATACTAGCAAGAGAGGTTTGGTACAATACAGTGCAGTGACGCAAATGGCGGCCTGGCTGCTTGACAGCTACCCCACAGAAAGAGCACTGATGCAACGCCCGAAGTCCCGCGCTACAGCATTGAGAGATAGCGGCATCGTGATGGCACCACTCTGCGGGATGCATGAGTCTGTGATGCTGCTTGACGCGGGAACTCCACTGACCGCAAATGACACAGTAGTCTGCAAGGCTGGCTTTGAAGTTTTCATGCGCAAGTGGCAGCTTCCAGTGCTGTCGTGCAAGCGAGCAAAACTCTGGTTGATCAAGCAAGGCAATGTGTGCTGCAGCTCAAGCCTCGCAACAGCAGGGACAGTCCGAGGAGCGGGGCCTGCATGCCCTGGCTCCTCACGATCTGTGGGGACCTCACCCACAGTATCGCCGACCGCCCCTACAACACCAGCCGAGCGACTCTGTTTGAGATGGCAGCCCCTCTTTAGATGTTTCTTGAGACCCTCAACTCTAGTAAAGCTTTTGCCACAACTGCGACAGGTGGGCATGCCATCTACTGAACCTTCAACATAAGCAGCAGCAGACAAAACGCCGGGCCTGTCAGGAGCTTTATGTGTTTTGTGTTGTCTGGACCTATGTGAACGCATGACACGAACATTCAGAAAGTACTGCCCGCACTCCGTGCACGGAACCCCAATGCAGGCCTCAGCCTCAGGCGCAGCTTCTACATCTAGGCTACTAGGGATAGCTATGAGCTCTTGCAGCTTAGCATTGAACCAATCCCATTCCTCTTGTGTCTGACACTTGGGCAACCTGCGCTGGAGTGTCTGCTGAAGCACCTGCAGTGGGCCTTCCACCCCTAGACGCTGCCTGAGCTGCGCGGTGCTTTCATGTGTCATGAAAGAAGGCGAGTGGGACAGAGCTCGAAGCACTCTGGCATCATATTGGTCTAGGCGTCGGGCCACGCTGGTGGTAAGACCGACGGCATGCAAACCATATAAGAGACTGCTTCTGATGCAGGCGACATATAGCCTAGCGCGCTGTCTCAGCACCAAACGCCGACTTCTCAAGACACGTGCGAGGCGATGCCGACATTTATTGGCTGCGCGCTGCCGATGGTGAAAGGTCTGTTGCTCATAGCTGGTGTAAGAAGCCACGATGCCTAAATAAACCAAACTATGAACCCTGGGAACAGTGATGGGCAGATGTGGAGTACCCAGCTGCATGACTTGTCCCTGTGAGGTTATCTGCGTGTGGGACCTTACCCATCGGCGCGCGGTGCTGCCTTTTAGCCGAAGGACAATGCGTGACTTGTCAGCGTTCAAGGTCATACCAAATTCTCGGAAAGTGCGGAACGTTTCCCGTACGCATTTGACTAAGAATTTAAGATCCGAGGCATCACGCACCTCCCACGAAACATGTGTGTCATCTGCGAAAAGAGTGGCAGCCTGTTCGGCCCACTCCGGGGAAGTACGTGCCGCCAAAACGTCATAGATGTGACATGTGTACAGCGTGAACAACAACGGACTTAGTGCACAACCTTGTCTTATCCCCTTATTCATGGGGAAGGTTCCCGTCTGCCCCTTATGAGTCACCTTATATACACATTGCACATGGAGGGCAACAATAAGCTCTTGGAGATCGGGCGGCACCCCGGCATAGGCCAATGAACAGCGTAACGCTTCACGCGGGACTTCATCAAAAGCTCGTGATAAGTCCAGGCTCATCATAGCCCCTCCATAGCACGAACCTAATTTCTTACCTGCCCTGCGCTCGTATACTGTGACTGTAGAGTGTTTGACGGCTTCCCTGACTCTGGAGCAGTGTGCTAAGACCGAGAGATAGCTCCATCAATAGCCTTACCTTTGATATAGGCGTATTGCGGCCTGGAGTTTACGAAATCTTGCACAGAGACCTCCAGGCGTTCACGCACTGTGATGGCTAGGATCTTGGAGCTGGGGTCCTGCAATCCTAGTGGACGAAGGTCCGCTGGTCGCTTGCTGACCTTGTGTGGTTTGGGGAGCAGAGCCAGAGCACAGTCCGTGACTTCCCGAGGCAGGCAATTGCCGTGAAGACACGCAGCATTGAGAACGGCTGTAAGCTTGGCTGCATATTCCTCTGGACAAAGTCTCCAGAGCTCTGCCGGCGCACTGTCTGGAGGAACTGACCTGCCGGTTTTAAGCTGCGTGATGGCACCCAAGATTTCAGCCTCTTCAAACTGCACAGTCCCCGTCGGCTGCACACTAGCAGGCGGGTGCCCATCGAACGCTGTTTGGAAGTAGTGCAGTATCTCCCTGAACTCAGCCTGTGGCCCTAGCATTGAACCCTGAGCATCCCGAATGCGCACCTTCTCAAACCTCTTCCTTGGAGCTAAGACATTGATGACTCTATAAACCGCACCTAGATCCTGACGCTTAGCTGCATGCTCCGCCTCCTCAATGCGTTCCTCAAACCACTGACGTCTGGCTTGCGTGCTTGCAGCACGCAGTTGGCGGCCACGCCGCTGCAATGCGGTGGCAAGACGCCAAACTTCAAGTATTCGCCCAAGTCCTAGCTTGTTCCCCGGGGCACGCCTAGCCTGTGCAAGCGCCTGCTGCGCAACGCGAACCGCCTTAACATTATCGACTACTGCCTCCTGCGTACTTGGCTTTCTCGACACCGCTTTGGCAGACGGAAAAAGGCGTGCACAATGCTTCAGCATCTTGACATTGAGCTGTTGCAGAGTGGTATTAGGGTCCGCCTGCAAAAGGGTAGCTTGCACACAGGACTGCAGTTCTTGCGCTTTGGGGCTCCAGGCTTTGAGGGATTGTCTAAGAAGAGTCATATCGAACCTAGTGGCTTTGGGTGTTCGGGTATGAAAGGTCCAACCGGCTCGCCAAGATATGCTGGCAACAATAGCACGATGCTTGGAACCACCTCTCCAGGGCGCCAGATCAAATGGCTGTGGCTGCGCAAGCCGGGCTTGTCGATCAACAGTGGGTCTGCGCATAGCAATGAAGTCGATTTGACTACGCACATCATCAAATTGATACGTGTAACTGTGCAGCTTGCTAGCACGACCCCAAGTGTTGAGCAGGACCAGTTGCTGTTCAGTAAGGAGGGCTTCCAGTTCGGGGTCAGGGGTTTGTTTGGTCTCAAGAAGCCCACGCCCAATCAGCCCTGGAAGAGATCTACACTGTGTGTTGAAGTCAGCACCTACCACGACAAGGTTACGTGTGGGAATCTGATGCAGCACTGTCCCAAGCTGGTTCCAGAATAGGCTCCTCTTATCTGCCGTACTCTTTTGACCACTATCAGTTCGCACCCACTGGTATCCTGCAATAACGTCGAGCGTTTTCTTGTCGTCAGTGCAGCGAACGTGCAGTAGCCGTCCCGGTATATGCGTGCGATAGCTAATGCAGTCTGGCGGCACCACGCGATGTGAGATGAAGACTCCTACACCAGCAAAGCGCTGGCCTAGGTCCGCACTGACCACCATTGACCATCCTGGTATCTGCCAGGTCGTGTCCGACTGGCCGCAGCCCCAGTGTAGTTCTTGGATGATGATGATATCCTCCTCACACTCTGTAGTGAGCCAGTGATGCAGCATGTCGTAGACTGGACTGGTGACCCCGCCAATGTTAAAGCTGCGCACTTTAAGCCTGGCATTACCAGCGCTCGCAGCTCTGGCACAGCCACGTCTTGCTCGAGGAGCATTGCCAGCAGCCGCTGGTTGCCCTAGGTGACAGGTACCCAGCGCTTCCGCGCTCATCCATCGTCCACGATATAGTGTGCCTCCGTGCTGCTCCGCGCACCGTCTGGCTCTCCGATATGCTCTCTTCCGAATTGCCGAGTGTTTGTTTGTATAACTGTCTTCCGCGCCAGTGATTTTCGCAGTTCCAGAAGGCCCTGCTGATAAGTCCCTTGTGGCGCAGGACTCAACCCTCGGGTCTATGGGGTAGCAGCTTGTATCGCCAATGTTGTCAGCCACCATTCCCCACTGCAGGATTTGGGACCCGCACAGCTCAAGCAGGGCAGGTGATATCAGTCGGGCCAGGAAAAACCGTACACACAGCAGTTGCAGAAACTCCGTGATCATTGCACCACCGCAGGACCCTGACTACCCGTTGCTTCGCTCAAGCCGAGACCCTTAGCAGTAGCAGTAGGAGTAGTAGTAGTAGTAGTAGTAGTAGTAGTAGTGGTAGTAGTGGTAGTAGTGGTAGTAGTAGTAGTAGTAGCAGCAGCAGCAGCAGTAGTAGTAGCAGTTGCAGTAGCAGTAGTAGTAGTAGTAGTAGTAGTAGTAGTAGCAGTAGTGGTAGTAGTAGTCGTAGTAGTAGTAGTAGTAGTAGCAGTCGGCCACTCATGTTCGGACCGCATGTATGCATGTGAGTGCAATGGTCTATTTGTTGGTATTACTTGCTGTTCATGCTATCATCACTGCTGCCCTCACTACTTTCATGGGCAATCCCTAGCACTGTGGACTTCTCATTTGATGATGTTCTTATCATTACCAAGACTCTTGCTACCTCAGCAGCACTTTTGCGTTGGCGATACATCTCACCCGTGCTGTCCTGTTGTTATGATTGTTACATTGCCGGGATGATTGCGATGGCTACGGCACTGGTCACGGCGACAGGGCCTCTTGCTCATGACAGTGCCTACGATGATGATGATAATGATGAAGATGATCAAAACGATGAAGATGATGAAGATGAAAATGGTGATTACATCGGCGCTGGCGATGAAGATGAGGCATTGGAAAAAGACTGGCGAGCACTGATTAAATCCTAAACCCCAATGCGGCATTCATCCCCACAAACGAAACCCGTAAGCCCTAAACAGTCAAAAAGCCACACCATCAAGAATTGTAGGTAGGTTCTGACCCGTTTGAACCCTTGCGCCCCAAAAGCCTGAAAGCCAAAGAAAGGCGGTAAAAGCCTGCACCGCAAGGGCGAGAACAAACGCGACACAAAAACGAAGTCTGAGTCTACATATCCGCGCAAGCCCTCTTGAAAGTCAGCCCTGACCCCCTGGCCCAGCGCAAGCCCAGGCACCGCATGACTTTCTTCAGGCATGCGACAAAGCGAATGAGTACATGAGAAAATGGTACGATTGTGTCAACGAGCTTTGGCCTGCATGTAACGCTAAACCCTAAGCCCTGAACCCTGCAACCTCAACCCGAAACTGGAAACCCTAAACTGTGAGCCCCAGACCCTAGAAGCCAATCCTGCATGACGTCTCGTCAGCTCAATGTGGTTTCTTTGGTACAGATGCTTGCAAAATTAGCCAAAGAATTGCCTTATAGTCCCGAAAAATGATTCTGCCAGACTGTACCCTAATCCCTAAACCCTCACCTTGGCTTTCTTCGGTGACATCTGAGAGCTGTGGGGTGTCTTTTGTTTAGTTCTGAGTGCAAGCCCAAATTGGGCAGGGAGTCAGGCGAGCGAAAGTCCCACTGCACCCTTAACAACAAAACCCAAAGCCCCTAAACCCTAAACCCTAAACCCAACCCCGATTCAGATTCTTAGGGAGCCCATATTCAGTGTCGGGAGGTTTCTTTTGGTGTTGCAGCTTCGAGGTTCAGAGCAAGCCTCTAAGCCCCTTAACCCCTAATATGGGGGCCTTAATAATTAGAATAGGCTTTGGGGGGGGTTCCTTACTATAAAATATAGTAAAAACGGCCCTAAAACCCTATTCTAATTATTAAGGCCCTACATTAACCCCTGCTTGGAGGTTCAGGGGCAACTAGAAGTAGGGTTAGAAGTAGGATAGCTACAGAGATATACAACCTATATGACTTACAACTCCACGTGTAACTGCACCTGAACCTCTAAGTAAACCCCTTAACCCGTAACCCTAAACCCTAAACCCTAAACCCCTTCACCGAAAACCCCTAAATCCTAAACCCTGCCAAGCCTCAAAGCAGGGCCTCCACATTTAATATTCGCGTCAAGGTCCCACTCTGCCTTTCAAGCGTTTAATTCGAAAAAGAGGTCTACCTTAAGGTCTACCGTAAGCAACAGAAGGTTTCCTTGTCGACGTTTAGGGTTTAGGGTTTAGGGTTTAGGGTTTAAGGTTTAGGGTTTAGGGTTTAGGGTTTAGGGTTTCTTCATAAGGGGAGGTTGGGATTTCTGGGAACAAGGAAGTTCATCAAGAGCGCGTGCCCTTAAACTTAAACCCGAAACCCCAAAACCCTAATGTAGGGGCCTAGACAATTACCTATACTACTTTTGGGGGTTCCTTAGTATGATTAGAGTAGAATGGGCCCCAAAACCTTATTCTACATATGGGTAGTTGTCAAAATCATGCCGTATTATAACAAGGACCCAAAAAGGGACCTTGATTTTGACAACCACCCATATTAAGGCCCCGACAAAAACAAGGAAGTCGACCAAGAGTGTGGGGATCCAGATCGCCCTGGGAAAGGAAGCTGATCGGAGGTTAGAAGCGTTTCCCTAAACCCTAAACCCTAAACCCTAAACCCGAAGCCCTAACCGTGGCTTCCGAAAAAGGTTGGTGTAAGGGATCTTTAGGGTTCAGGGTTCAGGGGTTCAGGGTTTAGGGGTTGAGGGTTTAGGGGTTTGGGTTTAGTGCTTCTGGGGTTTAGGGGTTTAGGGTTTAGGGTTCAGAGTTCAGGGTTCAGGGGTTTAGGGTTTAGGGGTTCAGCCCAGAGGCTCCAATACCCCCTTAATTGAGGAATATGCCTTACATCATACTTAAGGATCCTACTGAAATTGAAGATATATTCCTGAATTCAGGGGTCTTGAAATTGGAGTCTCTGGGAGGGTTCAGGGGTTTAGTGTTTTTGGGGTTTAGGGCCCTGGGATTCCGATTTTTGCAGCGAAGGCTTATTGGAAGTTGGAACAGCTGGAGTCTTTAACCCTGGGTTTTTAGGGTTTAGACTTGGGGTTCCGAGCTGCGTGTTCATGAGTAGTTTATGGGATTTCTGGCCGTGGGTTCTTTGGGTTTTCTGTTCTTGAGCTGTCAAAGAAAGAAAGGAAGGTGCATATATCTGTAGATATGTGTACTTATACAGAGAGAGACAGAGGGAGAAGGACCCGATGCAGCGTAACACTTCAGCTTAAGTCCGTACACCCCGAAGCTGCCTCAGCAAGTTTTGAAGACGCCCCGATATGGGTAGCTTGCGTCAAGACCTAGTTTGTGGTGGGTGTGAACTCCAAGGTTACATGGGGCTGCGCAAGAAGCTCGGTTTTGGATTTAGATCTTAGGGCTCAGCGTCCGTGCAGCAGTGCAGCCGTTGACAACCTACTAGGGCCTGAAACAGGAGATTCGCGGAAGCTTAGCCAAGGTGTTAGGATTTCCTAGGGTTCTAGTAGCCCCAAACCAGAAATCTGAACCCAAACCAAACACGCCCCTTGCTGAGGCAGAGGCCGAGGCAGAGGCAAAGGCGAGAACAGGCTATCGTGCCGGCAGCCGTGTCTGGGTCCTTGTTATCGAACCTGGGGTTCTTTGGTTCAGTGTCTTTTGTTGTTTTAGGTTTCGGGGTTTAGGGTCTGGGTTTTTTGGCTAGGGTTTAAGCTACCATTTTGGGGACTATATCGTGCATACTATGCTTTTCTTCTTACCAGTATCTTGTGTTTTTTAACTTAGGCTCCAACAAAAGCTCACAAGACCTTGAGAAAACCGTTGAAGAAACTTCTAAAATGCTATAGCAGCCTTAGAATAAGATCCTGAGCATCCGTAAAATAGGACCCTGAGCAAGAGCTCAGGTTTGCCACGGCGGTAGCCGAACTCCGCAATCGACTTTCAGAATACCCGAAGCCTCTTTGCTTCATTTTCTGCCGGAGCTTAGGTGGGTGAAGGGCTCGTGGCTCCTGAAAGGGTTCCAGCACACGGATCTATCAGGGTCTAGGGGCCTAGGGTTCTTAAGGTCGAGGGGGCTTTAGGGTTCAGGTTTTGGAGTTTTGGGTCCTAGGTTTTGGGCTCTTGGGGTTTCACGTATAGGTTAAAGGTTTACGAGTCTGGTATACGCATGTGTGCATGTGCGCGTGCGGTTACAGGAACACACAGGAGATGAGTGAATAAAGATAGTAGGGTTTAGGGTTTTGGGTTTAGGACCCAGCTCTCGTTGAGATGCACATGCTTCATTATAGACCAGACCCTACAAACACAATCTGAAAGCCTTCACCTCTAAGACCGTAAACTCGAATTACCCGAGCACGAAGACCCTGAAACTCTATAGAGCCCACACCATCACAGAAGCCACAAACAACTGCTCTTCCGAACCTTTGAAGAGCGCAGCAGAACCGAAACCTCGACCCTAAATCCATAACCCGAGATCCCACGGCCTACATCCGTAGAGGTCCCTCAGGGTTTAGGGTTTAGGGTTTAAGGTTTAGGGTTTAGGGTTTAGGGCCCTTGAACCTCCACAGCTCCAACTTCGCACAAACCTCTACACTGTAAACCCCTAAACCCCTGAACCCTCGACCGTGAGACCCCCTAAGACCCCGTAATATAGAAGCCCAAATAACTACCTATGTTATTTTTGGGGAGGTTCCTCATAATAATAATAATAATAATAACAACAACAACAACAATAATAATAATAATAGTAATAGCAATATATAGCGCAAAAACCTATTCTAACTGTACAGGCCCCTATGCTAAAGCCTTAACATCCTCAACCCCAATCCCGAGCCCTGAAAGTTTTCAAAGGCCTGTATGGATCCGTTCTAGCACCCTTCTAGACCCTTGCAGTAGAACCTTAATCTTAGTAGCTGAGTGGGTAACCTTTAACCTTTTGGGGTTTAT